CTGACTTACACAGACCCTGCTGGCTCTGAGGCTGAATTTCCCATCACCGGCGCCAGACGGGAACAGAGCAGAAATTACACTTCTCGTTACAGCTAAAGAACAGGAGAAGCTGCCTACTTGGACTTTAGTGATCCTGTGCACATCATTGTAGCAGGTGAGGGGCCCAGTCCAGCATCTCGGCTCCCAGCCCCACACTCAGCCAGATGCCCACGGGATCTCCGCGGGCCCTGGTGCCCAGCAGATGGGATGTCCAGCCCAACCAGTGAAGGTTGGGTAGAGGGGGGATTTCTTGGCGCTGTGGTGCTTGTGTGCCTTGGAAACCAGGAGAGACCCTGACCCTGTCTCTGCCCCATCACTGACACTCCCCGCTGGGGATGGGGCGCAGTGGCCGTGCTGGGGTCTCTCATGCCTGTCTCCCTCCCACCACAGAGCTCAGCTCCCCCAAACCCTCCATCTCCCTCAGCCCCAGTGGGGGGGGGTCATCTTGGGGGGAGCCGCGACCGTCCAGTGTCGGGGTCAGCGCCGGGGTCTGGAGTTTGTTCTGGACAAGGCTGGGGCCAGGAACTCAGCAGCATGGGGCAGGGACTTGGCTGGGGTTAAATTTCCCATCCCCAAAGTGAGCCGGGCAGAGGGAGGCAGCAATACCTGCTATTATCCCCTGACTCGGATCCTGACACCTGGTGCAGCAGGTGCTAGCAGGTGAGGGGCCCGGCTCAGCGTCTCCACTCTCAGCCCCACCCCCAGCCAGCCCCACAGGGCAGCTCCACACCAATGGGACACTCAGAGCCAGGCTCTGCCCTGAGCCCTGGGCCCAGCAAAGGGACTGTCACAGATCCACCGGATCGGGGCAATGGTCCCAGCTTTGGAGCAGCCTCTGGGAGCACTCGTCAATGTGCCAGACCCCCTGGGGGTCTCACTCTTCCTTCAGGGCAAACCCCGCGGCTCCCCCGCCTCCTTAGGCTGGACCCCTGGCCCGGCTGCCCCCCGGCTCCCCATCACGGGCGATGTTTGGTGAGTCCCCCTGAGGCAGACCCTAAGGGAGCCTGGTACAATCTTGGGGAGCAACATGTCCCTCTGCAGGGCACGCTGCTGTGCAGTCACATTGGTTGGGCTAGGAGGCCACTGCACCCAGCACAGGAAGTTCCGGGTTTGCCCAGAGAGAAGAACGTTATAGCCGGGTCCAGCCTGGCTCCCCAGAGCCCCTACCAAGCTGTGCCCCCCTGGGCCCCTGATCTGTCCCTCGGCTCCCTCTTTGTTCAGGTTCCCGGACGAGCCCCGGCCTCCCGCCTTTCCTCAGTCCTTGGCTGTCCGGCTGGTCACACCCAGCTGGCTTCCTGCGGGGGCTGGGCCATCCATGGTCGTTAGTTGGCGGCAGGTAGCAAATGTCCCGGAGATGGGCTTTGCCCTGGGGCCCCCCAAATCCCAGACACCGTTCAGACATTTGTCGTGGCCTGGCCGGGAGTAAACAGCCTTTGTTCGCGACCTAGTTAACCATGCAACATAGAGGAGAAACTGAGGCAAACATGGAATTTGTACAAACTTTACAGAAAATTCCCACTCTATCACAGGGAAGCCCAGCCAGGGAGCAGGGACGGAGTTACTAGGGGTGTTCGTGTGTTCCCCAGCCTGGGGGCAGCAGCTGCTGCTGGAGATTCAGAGCAGATGGAGGGGGGGATCCCTGCCCCCAGGGGGAGCTGCAGAACAGGGGGTCATTGACCTGCTGTCCCCCTGCCCAGGCCCACATGTGGGGGGCCGGGGAGAGCTCAGCACCAGGAGGGGGAGAGGGAAGGGGAGAGGACACATTGAGGTAGCTTTTAAGTGATTTTGCATCCTGTTAAATCTCCAATCCAAATTTGTAATAAATACAGAACCACAAACCAGCCCCCCCCCCCGTGGGCAGTTCCCAGCCCCCCATCCCTGCTCCGGGAGTGTGTGTCACACCTAGGGGAGATGGGATTGCTCGAGGGGGGGGCAGGGGGGCCCTCCTGCTCTAACCACTACACCCCGTCCCCTCCCAGAGCTGGGATAAATTACAGGGGCGCTGCCGGAGAATCAGGTTTATGCTGAGTTTCACAGGCAATAACAGAAACAGCAAGCGGGCGCTGGCTCTGGACACACATCTCCTTTTCACACATTTTTTGGCTGCTCCTTTAGCAACTTAGGATCCAAATGTATCCCTCCCTCACAGGGGCCTGCACCGACAGCCCCTCTGCCTGGTCTCTGTCTCACATCACTTATCTAAGAACAGCATCGGCAGTGACTCTACCTGAGAAGGCGGTTGGTCAGGTTCCTCCACCCTCATGCTCCAGGGTAGGTTCTGGACCCAGCTGGGTCAGGAAGGAATCTCTGCCCCGCTCCATGGGAGAGGGTCACTCGGTGGGGGGCACAGTGTGTGTGTGTGGTGGGGAGCCCTCCTCTGCTCTGAACTGCTGCTCTAGGGAGGCTAAACGGGCCTGTTGGAAAAGATCAGGGCAACCTCGGCACCTCTTGATACCTCCTGAGATTGCCCCGTTCCCAGCTGGTCTCCAGACTGGGCAGCTCCCTGTGGGGCTGGGAGGTGGGGGAGGGGGGGGAACCAAGGAGCTGTAGGAGGGGATGTGGTTTGCTGGGCATGGAGGGATCTGGCTTTGTTCTGACCACGGTAGATTTGGCCTGGAGATTGCAGAGAAACCATCTGATGAGGAGAAAGGGGCCGAGTGTATCACGGGTTTTCTGGGGCTGCAGCCCCCAGTGCAGTTCCTCATTCCGCTCGCACTCGGGCCTCAGACTTGGAGGTGCTCAGCACTGAGGCGTTTGTAGCAGCGCTGAGGGGGCCCCCACTGCCCCTGTCATGGCATCTGCTCTCACCGTCCTCCTCCTCGGTGAGTATCGGAGACAGCCAGGGCGTGTGCCCATGGGGGGTGGTGATCTGAGACCAGGGAGTGAGTCCATGGGCGGGGGATTCTGAGACCAGGGCATGTCCATGGCGGGGGGGGGGGGGGA